TTGTTCTTTGTTATAAAGGTCCAGAAGAATGTACTTGTCAAGTTATTATAATATTCCAACAAAAAAATAAGATTTCTTCATAAAATATGTGTGTGTGTGTGTATATATATATATATATATATATATATGAAAAAAAAACTCAAAGATAACATCCTGGTCCCATTTGAATATCATGCCATATGAAAGTCCACCCATTGCCATGATTCTCAAATCAATCTCCCTTGCAGAGTTCCAAAAGAATATCATAAAGTAGAGAAAAGGGAAGGAAATCACAGATTAGTAATGGCAATCAACTATTCCAAAAACAAGTCCTATACAACTTTTTTTTTTTCCCCTTTATTCCATATATCTAGTAATGGGAAGGTTTGTTCTGTTAGCTTACAGGATCTGAATCTTGTGGTGGAAATTCAACAAGCTTTCTTTTCTTTTCCCCCACCTCACATGATGCCCGCTTTAAAGAAAAGATCTTTACCTCCTTTTATATGTTCTTCATGGCATTTCGGAACCGGGAAAAGAAAAGATCTAAAAAGGGAAGAAGATCAAAATTCTATTGACTTAACTCCGTAGTTCCTGCAGTCTTCTGTACAGTAGTAAATCAAATGATTTGATTTGGAATTGGCTTCTGAGTGTTTAAACACTTGCAATTAGCCCGGTTATCGCTAAGAGTCTGCATGACAAAGCTAGTGTGTAAATTGAAAGTCATTTCACAGCAATGTTAATATGGGTTTTAATTGATTAGTTTTCCTCCTGTAATACCTTAAACTGTTTCTGAAGATCTTTAATGTACTCTACTGCCAAATCTAGCATGTCTGCCGTGCTTGTTTGCTATCAAATTGAGACATAAACATCTTAGTTTTTGAAAAGAGTAAATATTTGCTTCCGGGTAAATTATATATTGCCATGTCTTACCTTGTCCATATTCGGAACTAGCTCTTGTAGTTTCCTCATCCGTTCACTGATTCTCGTTCTTCTCACCTAATGGTAAAGTAATCATCCGTAAATATCTTCTTTAAGATTAATAGATAAACTCGTGTAATTTAATCCTGACTAACTTGTGAATTGGAAAGCAAAACGAACAAGAATCAAAAGGGAACTGAGGACGGTGATATCTGAAGTTGTAACCTAAATAGGTTCGAAACAAAATCTATATATTGACGGGGATATAAGAATTTTTACCCTTTCAGCAATACTTCGAGGATGAGTGGCACAACCACGTTTGGCTCTAATTTTACAAGGAACGGAATCTTGAAATTGGAGAAACTTCTCGATAACCATCTCCGTTGAAGCCTTGGGCAAACTCAAGCTATGGGATAACATGTGTATTCGATTTCCAGACTCTCCATCCTGAATGGAAAACAAACACTCAAACTAAGATATACCAAACAAACAAAAACTCAAAAGAGGCTATTACTTTCGATGCTAATTGATACCTGAGAACCAGAATATAACTTCCCATCATTATCATTTTCTTGTTTCAAACCAGAAAAGTTCTCGGTGAAACTCAACGAATTGTGCCAACCTCCAGATGGGAATCCAGGATTATAAAATCGAGCATCACCAGTTCCATTCCCAAGTTTCCCATCATCATGGCCATTTGCCCCAATGCTTTCGCTCCCAATTTCAGATATTTGTGATAACATGGCAGACGATGGAAGTCTTGATGAGAAGCTATAAAGACTTTTCAGTCTGTTTGATGGGCTTAACCCTCCTCCATCTGTACCATTGACTCCACCATAGCTGCCAACACTTTTCATGGTGGCATAGCCTGCAATTTTACTGAGAAAGTTTTCAATCTCATTCTAGCTTCTAAAATAGTGTCCATGACAAAACTCTTTCTTTCAGTAACGGGTTTCTCATGGAAAATTTCCATTAACAATATATGGATTCCCCTGGCATCACATGATCCAAATTGACGGACAAACTTCTTCATAAAAATAATGATTACACATTAAGGTAACTTTGATGGCATTTTATCAATTCTTATTATTTTTCTTAATTACCTTAATTCTCGATTGTAGATTAAAAGTTTTGCATGCTAAATTATATGTATGAATTTTTAATCACATTGGTTGATTTTGGGTTCCACACCACCTTCCAATGAAAGTTGAAAATTGGAGGCCCAGAAATTGTTGAGCAGTGAAGCTCCACCTACTACATACAGTTCATTTTAATTCATCAAGTAAACATAAACCCAGAAGAATAATTGCAGGTTCAATATATATATATATATATATATATGTGTGTGTGTACCCACATGTACATCATATATATGTTTATTCTCTGGATAAATGCTTCACCAATGAGCTGTGAAGAAAGTGAAACCATACCAGAAAAGAATCCCGTTTGTTTGTATAGGGTGATTTATATAATATCCATTTAAGTAACTCAATCCAATCATTAGAAAAAAAAAAAAAATCTAATAATTGAGTAAATAATTAGCTTCTTAGATTAATAACCCAGACCCAACTAACCTCAAAATGCATATTCCAAAAAGGAAAACGACCATTTCTACAGAAAACGAAGAAAATCAACAATATTAAACAAGGAGACAGAGAAACAGAACAAGAAAATACCATTTTGAGCCGAAAGATTCGCGAAAAGTCCAGCAGGCGAGCTACTCTGCCTGATAAGATTCGAACTAATCGATTTCCCTTGTGACTGGTGATCCATTGCCAGCAACTCATACGAGGAATCCATAGCAGAGGAACTCTGCTTCGGGTAATGAGGCGGCAACGCAGAATAGCTTTGCTGCGACGTCGTATAAGTCACAGCCACCGCCTCTGTAGACTTATCATCGAAATCTCGAAAACTAT